GCTCCGCTCGCACCGCCCGGGCGATTCCGAAAAAAATCGGAATTCCGATTTTAATCGGAAAAATATCATGCCTGTATAGGTCACAATAAATACATAAATGACCAAACACATAAACACATACCGTGTTTCCCCCCAAATAAGACCCAGTCTTATATTTTTTGTCACCAAAAAAGGCACCAGGGGATGTTTTCCACTGACTCACCTCACGATGGTGGCACTGACAGCCCCGCCCAGCAGGAGCCCACTCCTAGCCCAGCTCTTCTGCAGTCGCTTGCCACTGCTTACGTGCATCACCAGGCCTTGCACACCATGACACTTGCCTCGCCTTGCCAGCCCACTTCTTCTGTGACCACTTGCCACTGCTTGCACATGGATTGACGCACATCCCCCCCACCTTGTTTCATCGTCAAAGGTCTTCAGGAAAGGCCTGAAGACAGCTGATAAAAGAACTCTGGATTGCATCAAACAGGAGTGCATCAATCTGGAGCTCTTTCATCAGCTGTGGAGGCCTTTCCTAAAGGCCTCTGACAGCGAAATGGAGTCCAGGGGCGACGCATGCAAGCAGCAGAAAGTGGCCACAGAAGAAGTGGGCCGGCAAGGCAAGGCAAGGCAGGCGTCGTGGTGTGCGAGGCCTGGTTGCAACTATCCAAAGTAGGGCAGCTCCACTCCCCCATTCCCCACCCTAGCTTGATTTTTACCCGTGCACCTCGCCCCACCCTGTGCAGCCCGGAGTGGGCGGGATCTTAACTAGGGCTTAATTTGGGGGTAGGGCTTATATTGGACACTCATGTAAAAATCAAACTAGATTATTTTTGGGATAGGTCTTATTTTGGGGGAAACAGTACATAGATAAATAACAAATACTGCAATTTAGTTATAGGTTATCCAGGTAGTCTCTATTTTGTAAATATTACTGAATGAAGAATGCCTATCCCTACCTTGGCGTCAAAGGAATTGTTAGCTACTCGCACATCTATTTCTATTTCTTCTGTTCTTATTCTGCGAAAAGGACTGGATTGCTGTAGAAGAAGAAAAAATAGAAATAATCCTTATGATATGATCATTCCAGGTGCTAAACAAAAGGGACATGTCCTCCAAGTTCTTGTCACTTCAATATCCCTATGGTCACATGAACAAAACAATCTAGCACATGATCAATTGTGGCATCACATAGTCACATGATCACAATATGTGCCCTTCCCTGCCAGCTTCCTCCAAGCAAAGGCAAAGTTAATGGGAAGCCAGGAAGGAAAGTTCAAAGACATTGGGCGAAGTGCCTGAGTGGTTTTCTTTATACACATGCACTGTGCCCTCCTTCGCCACTTCACTTGTACACAAAGCAGACTTTTCCTGACCAACTTGCAATTGCATACATGGACACACGCACCCCAAACCCTATTTCCATGGTGCACACATGCACACATCTCATGTACCTGCTTTACTACACACATGCACTCATTCTACACCTTCTTTCCTGAGCTTCTCTGTGTTTGGATATAAGAATGCACGCAACCAAGTGCTTTCTTTTCTTGGCCTGCTTGTGATCACATGCACTCTATGTTCATCCAAGCACCTTCTCCCCCAAACTTACATGTATCCTGTGTTGAGCCTCCTTCCCCCAGTACCCTGTTATTTATTACCTGATTCTCTTCACTCATGCATCCTGGATTGTGACAACTGAGATTGCAAGGCATCATTAAATGATGTCACATGATGTCATGCTTCACAGCCTCATTGCTTAGCAACAGCAATCCCATTCAATTGCAATTGTAACTTGAGGATTACTCGCCTATGATATATCTAATTTCCAACCAAATCCTTCAAACTGGTAACTTAGGAGCTTTTCTAGTTGAGAAATTGTTTTTAGAATCTCGAACATTAGAACCAGAGATATAAGGTCACCCATGACGATTTCATAATATCTTACCTTCTTTCAAAAAACCTTGTAAAACACAATTCAAATTTAGCTTTTTTAGAGTTACCCTGTGATAAGATGGACAACTAATATGTTTAGTAAATAAAGTAAAATAAATAAAATTATAAAATCCTTTTTCTCAATTCTTACCTGCTTTGATTTTGGAAATGTATGAGGACTTCTGACTTTCAACTTCTTGATGTCTGGTGTCTCCAATTCTTGTTCACCTTTCCTTTTCTGCTTTTTTTTTGATAAGCCTGTTACATTTTACAGGAATAGTAAGCTTCCACAAAACTATCTCATTCTAAGTATGTATCAGTTTACTCAATATGCAGCTTATGGGGCAGGAAAGTGTTTCATTTGTGCTATAAATTCAGGTATGAAATAGTTATTTAAAATATCTGTAATTGTCAGGAACTGATTCACCCAATGTCTGGATACATACAACATGCTAAGCAAAATAATCCAGTGCGGTTTATAACTTGATGCTGTTTAAGCCAAAGCATAATTAAGCTATGGTTAAAATGATGCTGTGGCTAAAAAGTCTTCCTTGACAGACAGGAATGATGTTCATCTATCATATTAAATTATGGTATCAGAACCAAGCCCAAAGATCAAAATGACTGCAATCCTTCAATTACTTACTCCTAACAAGCAGAATCTTGCCAAACTAAACCTTGTAACCTACTATATCTATTTTGAGAGGTTGTAGGTATAGCTACCCTGAACCTCTTCCCTTTCGTCCAGATTGGGATTTTCATGTCTCTCTCAGGGAAAGTTCTATATTAATAAAACTCTTATCCATCGATTCTTCAGGTGCACATTCCATCACATTTTTTCTTTACCTTATTATATTTGGTTTGGTGTTATTACCAAACTAGCTCTTCTATTTAATGCTTCCCTCATGAAAAATTACTAACCTTCCTTTGTAGCCTCTTCATCAGAATTACTACTGTTTGCTGAGCTCAGTACTTCAGATGTTGGAGTCTTTGATGCAAATGTTTTGCCCACAAAGTTGGCTGAGGTTTTTAACACTTTTTTTGCTATTTTGCAGTTATTTTGTCCTCTCTTTTTTTCTCTTTTATCAGATATTTTAAATTGTTCATTGGTGGAACTCTCAGAAGAGGTCCTGATCTCAGCTGGGGCTTGCTTGCTAGTGATCGAACTGCTGCCCACTGAGAGTTTGTTAGCTGCTTTCTTGGATGGCTGAGTCTGTTCTTCACTGCTTGAGCTGCTTGACTCAGAAGTCTTCGGTTTAGAGACAGGGGTGCTGGATTTCGGTGTTGTTTTGACAGCCTTTGTGTCTTTTATTTTATGAACTTTCTTATCTTCAACACTACTTTCTACTTTCTTTGCCAGCACTCCAAGAGGTTTCTTCATTTTATTTATGCCTGTCCTAACTGCAAATTTCTCAGGAATGCTGTCAGAACTATCAAAATCTAGGAAGAAAAAACAGGAAGAGAAAAACTAATTTGAATGCACTGCATCTTATCTTCACTATTTTTAAATTTTAGGTTTTTTTTATATGAAGGAAAGTGCAGATTCAGAACAATAAACTGATATTTTGAAAAGTACAATCTCAATATTCTGAACAAAAAGAAAATTAAACATAGTGCTTGATACTTTTTTTAAATGAAGGAGTCTAGAAAAGAGGGTGGTTACAAGAATGTAAGCATCTTTGGCTAATTCCTAAAAATTTGGGGTATGAAAACCCCCCAAAATATCACAGATGTTCTGACCTAAAAAGCCAATTCCTCCCTTTCTGCCTTTCAGAAGGAAAGCAGGTGTTTGATTTTTTTGGCTTCAGGACAGTAAATTTTTTTTCAGAGCAATTCAGTAGCTTGTTAGAAATTGCAGAGAATATTTGTAGGTCAGGTTGTAGGTTTAGGCAGAGGTTTGTCTTCTGAGCTTGCTGCTTGGCTCCTGGAAGTTTTGTTACCAAACTAGATAGCAGGGTTTTGGGTGAAGTGACTTGTTCTTACACAGGTCCTGAGTGGTTGGTTGGTCTTGTGACTGATTGAATCACAAGACTGAGTCACAAGACTGATTGAATCACAAGATTAGTTCCGGTCTTGTGACTTTTGACTGGTTGCTGTGAGGCGTGGAATTCAACTGGGGAGTTGGCTCTGTTGTTGGTTCAGATGGTCTGCTTCCTTATTGGTTTGTGCACTAGTTCTAAGTCAATGTGTTTGTTGAAGGACCCATTGGTAGCAACCTTGGAAGACAACCCTCTCCCTAATTCTACAACCTGAGCTACAAATATTCTCTACAATTTCTAAACTGCATGGGCAAAAGTCACTTAAACTTGCTTACCGCTGGGAGATCTTTGCCATAAACAATTGTCAATCCGCAAACAACTACACTTTGTCCATGAATGCCTCTGCAAGAAAATGGTGCCAAAAAGTATGCACCCATTAACCACCCACAAGCATGGAACCTGGCCTTCCAAAATGGATGCAAAATGCTTAAATTCATGAGCATTGGCGAACACAACTGCCTAATAAAATACCAACACACCATCAATGAACAAAAAACCTGAAGCAGAAAAAACTATATTAAATGAAAAGATAATGTTTGAATTAACTGAGGCGATTAAGAGATAGAAGAACAATAGAATGCCAGATGGCCGACCGACAGAAGTTTACAAACAATTACAAGATACTCTAGGACCATCATATATATAATGAAGTCTTGTTAGAAGCTAAGATACCAAAATCCTGAATGGCATATAGTACTTATACCAAAGGAAGATGCAGATTTATTGCAAATTAAAATTTTTAGATTAATCTCACTTCTAAATGTGGACTATAAAATTTATGTGTCAATAATAGCTGGAAGATTAAAAAGATTCTTGAATGAATTTATACACTCAGATCAAAACAGATTTTTGCCTGAGACAAATTAAAAACTACATGAGAATAATTTTGAATACAATGGAATATTATGAAGCACATCCTGAAAAACAAATGGCTCTGATTTTTATGGTTGCACAGAAAGCATTTGATAAAGTAAATTGGCAATTTATGATATAGCAATTAAAATATATGGAATTTGGTGAAAAATTTACTAATTGTGATCAAGGCAATATATACCAAACTGTAAAAGTGTAAATGGGGACATAACAGAGAATGTTAATATTAAAAAAGGCATAAGACAGGGGCGTCCACTGTCCCCTTACTATTCATTTTGACATTGGAAGTATTAAATAGAGACATTCGGCAGGATACAGAAATAAAAGGGATGGAGATAAAAAAAGAAAAATACAAAAACTACAGGCATTTGCAGATGACCTGGTATTTATCACAGAGGAACTGCAAACAAACAAATTAATGAAGAAAATAGATGACTATGGAGAAGTTGCAGGATTGAAAGTAAACAAAGAGAAAACTAAAATTTTAGTCAAAAACTTTACAAATAAACAGAAAAGAGAGTTAATGGAGAAGATAAGACATTCAGATAGTGAAGAAAGTAAAATATCTGAGAAAGAAGATAGTAAAATATCATCTATCAGTAAGATGTGTAACTATAAAAGAAGATAATTACATTAAATTGATACAGCAAATTAAATTTGACTTGGAAAAGTAGAAAAACTTGCTACTATTACTACTAGGAAGAATAGCTATCATTAAAATGAATACTCTGCTGAGATTATTATACCTGTTCCAAACAATTCCAATAAAGCTGGAAAAGAAATATTTTGAAGAATTAAATAGATTAGCAACAAAATTTATTTAGCAAGGTAAAAAAGCAAGAAAAGTCTGAAATTGTTATAAGACTCTAAGAATAAATAAGGCTTTGGGCTGCCAGATTGGGAGTTTTATTGCCAGGCATCTGCAATTATGTGGCTAAAAGAATAGATAACCTTGAGGCATAGACAATTATTAACTTTGGAGGGTCAAGATTTGGGGTCGCACGCCTTTCTATGGTACAGGAAAAATAAAATACACAGTTATTCCAACGACATTACCTTAGAAATGCTCTGTTTTCAGTATGGGGAAAAAATAAGGAGAAACACGATTTGAAAATACCAGTCTGGCTCTCTCCAATGGAGGCATTGATACATCCAAATGTGGTTGATACGGAAAAAATCATAAGATATAAAAATATTTTGAATGAGAAAGGGGAATTGAAAAGTAAACAGGAACTGAATAGTCAAGGGATAAACTTAGCATGGTAGCTACAGGTAAAAATACAATCAAGATATGAAAAAGATGATAAATTATATGGTTTTTATAAAGAACCAACAGAATTGTACCAGATTCTAACAGGAACTGATGGGAAATTAATTTAAAAATTTTACACTTGAATGGAAGAAGAGCAAGTAAAAAAGAAACTATGATAGTGTGGGCTAAAAACTTTGGTTATTCTATATAGAATTGGATAAATGGCAAAAGTTGTGGGATTGAAATTATAAATTAACAATGTCTACTGTGTACAAAGAAAATTTATATAAAATATTTTACAGATGGCACTTTGCACCAGCAAGATTAGCCAAAGATATGTCAGCTAAATGTTGGAAGTGTAATCAGACTCTGGGCTCATGTGGTGGATGTGCCCAAAAGCAAAAACATATTGGACAAAAATACATACTTGGACAGAAAAAAATGATAAAGGAACATGTAGATTTAAAACCAGAAATATTTCTCTCTCCATTTGCTCTAACCATTTCTGAATCTGTCACCAATATTTCCTTGCGTGGTTACATATCTACCACATATGATAGTATGTACCCGGTCCATCCTTGCATTTCCAACATTTCGGTGATAGATTTCTGAACATTTTGGCCAGTCTTGCCGGAGGAAGATGCCACCTCTAAAACATTTTGTATAAATTTTCCTTATATGATGTGGCCAATGTTAATTTTCTATTCTTTTCCCAGAGATTCTGCCATCTAGCCAATTCAATATTATATCCGAATTTTTTTGGCCCATACCACAGTTGTTTCCTTAACCTACTCTTCCTCCATGTTATAGTCTAATAGGTATTTATATATCACTTGATCAATTTGTCATCAATCCCTACGAACATTTTGTTAATTAATGCCCCATGTTTTCATATCCTGTGCGTATCTCGACTGTATTTGTAAATATGACCACCACTCTAGTTTTACCCCTTGTGCTATTAGTTTTGATCTGGTTTTCAATTCTCCTTTCTCATTTAATATATTCTTATATACAACAATTTTCCCCATGTTTATCAGATTTGGGTGTATTAGTGCTTCTATTGTAGAAAGCCAGACTGGAATTTCTATGTAGTTATGATGTTTAATTTTATTCCACGCCGCCAAGAGTGTCTGTCTTATGTAGTGTCTCTCGAAGTATTTATGTACTTTGCCTTTTTCATACCAAAGAAACTGTGCCATCCTGCTTGGATATCATGGTCTTTCAGTATTAGTAATCTCTTATTCCTTAATGTAATCCATTCTTTTATCCAAGTGAGTGCTGCAGTTTGATAGTATAAGTCCCAGTCAGGCAGGCCAAACCTTCTTTTTTCTTTGGCATCTTGCATTAATTTCAATTTGATTCTTAGTCTCTTTCCTTGCCATATGAATTTCGATATTGTTTGGTTCAAATTTTTAAAGAAGCTTTTCTCTAATTTTATAGGGATGTTTTGAAATAAAAATAACCCTCTTAATTCTAGTTTTCTCCTTGTTTATTTTTAATCCCTCTACTTATCTGTACTCTACCAGTTCCTCTATAAGCTTCATGCCAGACTGTAAGGGCTCCTCTAGAATAAAAACTAAATCGTCCACAAAGGCTTGTAATTTGTACTTTTCTCTTCTGATTTCCAATCTAATTTGTTCATCTTTCCAAATGTTCCTTGTCAATACTTCCAGCGTAAGGATGAACAACAGTGGAGATAGTGGGCAACCTTGTCTTGTACCTTTCTGTATTGCAAAACTTCGTGTTGCCTCCCCATTCATTATTACTTTGGCCTCTTGTTTTGAATATATTGCCTTGAACATATTTATAAATTTGTCACTGAAGTCCATATACCTCAATTGTTGTAACATAAATTTCCAATTTACATTATTGAATGCTTTTTAGGCATCTAAGAAAAGCAGTGCCACTTGTTTCTCGTTATGTTTCATAGTATTATAATATGTCTAGTATTCTAATATGTCTGTTCTCATATTATTCTTTATCTGCCTTTCAGGTAGGAAGCAATTTTGGTCTTGAACGTGTTAAGGAATCTTTTCAAACGTTTGGCTATTATAGATGCAAATATTTTGTAGTCTGTGTTCAATAGTAAAATAGGCCTATAATTTTGAATTAGCATTGAGTCTGCATCCTCCTTCGGAATCAACACTAGGTTGGCCTCCACCCTTGATGGAGATATCTCTGCTTCTGTGAGAACAGCATTATAAACCTCCAGTAGTGTTTGGCCTAGACCATCCTGAAGTTCTTTATATAGTTCTGTTGGCAGTCCATCGGACCCG